AGCGCGACGGGGGACGTGTCACTGGCGACCGATATGGACGACGGGATGGACGCGGTGGAGGAGTCGTTGAGAATGGAGGTCCAACTCGAGTTGTCTTCAGCCATAGGAGATATAGTGTGTAGGAGGTCCAAGCTCGCACAAATCCTACAGGGTCTGCGTCGATTAGTGGTTAAATCACCTCCCGACCCGCTAGCGGCGTATGCGGCGAATCCAGCAGGTTGCAGCGGCGCACGGGGTGTGGGAACAGGGAATTCTGTGCAGTGTCAATAAGACATGTAGGAATGGAGGAGAGGCAGACTGACGGCTGGCCTTGAGTTTTGCAAGCTCCAGACGCGTAGACAGACCTTTTGCCTTGTCTGTTTGCAACCGCAGGGCCTCGTCTGCATATTTTGGTGAAAAGAAAATGCCGCCGCCGGTCCGAAACTTACCATGCTTGCGTTGATCTGCGGCCGCCGCCGCGCTGTGCTGCTGGAACGAATGTGTTTTTTCGCGCTCCCAGTCGAGTTGTTTGAGAAGGCGCATCTGTTCCTTCTTGGCATTTTCCGCAGCGAGTCGGCTGCTGGCAACCCTGGCGGCTTCGCGCTGATACGCGGCGGCATTGATGCTGCTCATGAGTGTGCGAGCTTCGGGGAGCATAATTTTGGCAGCCGCGGGGAGAGCGGGAGCTGCGGGCAGCTTTGTTTTGGGCGCCGGCGGCGGGACGAGTGGGCTGTTGGAGGTAAATCAGTTCTTGCGCCGCGTTTGACCGATGAAGAAAGATGAGACACACTGCGCTTCATTCCTTGCAGAGGAAACGGCTTCGAATGCAGGCAAGAGTGCGGAAGGGAAGTCGTCCGAGTCCGAGTCCGAGTCCATAGTTGCGCGTCCAAGACCACGTGACAGCGACATAGCTCTGCACCTTACCAATAATGTTCGCGGTCTTCCCTCGCGCCGCTCGCCCTCTACGTCCAGACCCGACGACAACTTTGGCGGTACATGACGAGGAACCCACTCAGAACAACGCAGAAGACGCAAACGCCGAGCCTGATGAAGCCGAGGACGTGACCATGGTCGCCGCAGAACCTCTCGAACCAAAGCACGACACGCACCGTAAGAAGCGCAAATCCGACTCTAACAACGAAGACATCCGCAAACCCAAAGCAACAAAGACGACGAAAGCTCGAATCACTGCATCGGCTGCCCGTACGACCATCTCCGAATCCTCTCTATTGCTTGAAAACGTTGCACGCGCTCGCCTGACATGCTCTCGCCTCGACGCGGAGACGGCTTTGCAGAAGGAAAAGAACTTGGGCTTCGAGCGTCAGATTGAGAAACTTCGAATTGAGCGGCTCGCGGCGCAACAGAAAGCAGAAGATGACAAGCTGAGTTTGTATATCCGCCTATACCTTTTGTTACCCTCTTGAACGGCAGCCGGTAGACCGGGCGATGTCGCTGCAGGAGGCGATATCGCACACGCGGTTCCTTGAGATCCAGCTGGCAAAGCAAGGTGCGTACGCAACGCCGCCTTTGTCAGGTCATCAAGGGATCCACAGGCACGGTATCATCCGCGGGACCGAGCGGAGCATTTGCGTCGACGCCCGCCTTTGGATCGAACGCAACGCCCGCCTTTGGATCGACCGGCGCCATGCCCTCGGCGGCCGCCTCTTTTGGTCTCGCGAGCACTGGGAGACAAGCGCCGTCCCAGAGAGCGCGGCGTGAAGAGTGGGGGGCATAGCAGGACTTTTTTTTTTTTTCTCTCTGTTTTTGTTTCGCAAATGTTGTACATCATAACAAACAACTATTATCAAGAATCGGGAGGGACGCGATGCGCATGCTCTGCGACGAGGATGTCCTGGGCCGCGCCCAACGCGCGCGTGGCGAGCGCCAGCTTCCGTTTTTGCACCTCAATGGCGGCCTCGAGTGAGGGGAGAACGCGGCGCTTTGCGTTGAGGTGTGCGACAACCTTTAAAGAGTGAGTGAGTAGTAGGGATGGAATGGTGGGGGAAAGGCTAGAAACCAGGTCCATGGTGTCCTTGTTGAACGCGGCTATCTCTGGCAACGAAACCACATGAGTCGAAAAACGAGGTCGAGTCGTGGGCGGTAACGCACCCGCGGCTCCTTTAATCCATTTTGCCTCGGAATAGCTGTCCCAGCGGTCGACGGATTCCCGATAGCTGTTGGCGACCATGCCAGCTACGTCCGGCGGAAGCCCGGGGGCTTTGGAGGCAGCTGCGAGAGCATCAATGGCGGTGTGCCAACGGGCTGTCGTGAGCTTTGGCAACGTTTAAGAAACGGGGGGCTAGACATAAAAGAGGGTCGAACCTGAGCGTCGTCGGGGGTGGGGCTGGCATCTCTGGGCGCATCGTCGTTCTGGTTGGAGTTGGACATGACACCCGACAGTAAAATTCTACCGCGCGAGATATGTGGCAAGCGCTGGAACGCGTCGACGTCGCGTCGCGCGGAAGTATTATGATAGGCACGGGTGTGCGGCAAGATAAGATTTACAAACTACGTATTTATTGAATTTTTCAACTCTTCCAGCGCGGCTTTGACTTTAACCGTAAACTCTTTTATGAGGTTAAACCTCAGACCTATGAGCTGTTAAAAAAGGCGGCTAGAAAAACGAGGCACAGTGAGCACATACTATTGACGGTATTGAGCGCATTGATGTCTGCCAGTGCTTCGGAGCGGCGATGTTCTATACTGTCCTGGGCGCTCTCGATCATGCGGATTCCGCGCGTCAACCATCCACACTGCTCGATGGTGGCGTGGATGATTGATTCGACGAGTTCTGGATATTCATTTGTCGGCGCAAAGTAAAGCAAAAGAGGTCGAGTAGTAGTTACCAATGTGGAACCGTTCGTCGTCCACCCGAGCGTTGTGAACAATGGTGTCGATGTCGGACGTGTCGACGGCGACACCGCGGTCTTTGAGGTACGCGTCGAGCACCGCGAGGTCGAACAAGGGTACAGTGTGTTTTTCATCGGACATGATGGGTGGAGAAGAGCTTATTTTGTAAGACGTAAGACGCCGGGTCCGAGCCGAGGCTTTCGGACAAGTCCGCCTCGCAAACAATTTTATTTTCTAGTCTTGAAGTCTCCCGCCGAATACGATGCAAATTTCCCCGCGGCTCTGATGCGTTGACGCGTGTGCCTGCCTGGCTCACAGTGGGATACCGAAACCACTACCGTGCTCCGTTGCGCACCCGAGCTGACCGCGCTCGTCCGACCAGAGAACGCGGCCCTGAAACGACAATAAAACTCACCAAGGTCGTGGTTCTCGCGCAAAAAGTGTCCGGGACCAACGCGGCGCGCGAGCATGTTTCGTGAGGCCCCATAGCTCCGAAACAGTGAGTTTGCGTTGGTTTCATCATTGTGAGTTCTTGGACGTGGCGGCGGAATTGTACGCTCGCGTGTGCGCTCGGGGGTGACGTGTACGATGGTCTTGGAACGTGCAGGCGCGGCGTTGTCACGGCGCTGGCACGTTGATGGCGGGAATTGCGTGCCGGATTGGCATTGGCAGTAAAAGAGGGCGCGGAGCAGCAGAATCTTGAGCAGCAACGAGTCCCACGCAGTCGCGTCGTGGTGGGACAAGATCCAGAGGAGAGGGCGGAGGTTACTTGGAGCGCCGGCATTGACGTGACGCGGCGCGTCGAATTTTTGAGTGCTTGAGCAGTGCCGCACCGTAACAAAGAGCGGGTCCGTGCAGTGGCGTCGTAGTGGCTGCGCCGGACAGTGTCGCGAGGTCCAGAGAAGGCGGAGAGGCGCGCAAGTGTCGGCGTAGGGGGGTAGAGGTTACTTGGGAGCACCAGCGACGCAGCGTTGACGCGGCCCTGAATATGTCGTGCACTGGCACGTTGAATGTCGAGGCAGCGGCGAGTACCAAAAAAGGGCGTGCATGAGGTCGGACGTGATGACGGCGGAGGTGAAAGTGACGCCGGCGGTACGAATTGAACCGGCGAGATCGGCAGGACGGCATTTGAGCTGGTTCGATTTGCTTTATTGCCGAGAATCGATTCATTCGATCCTGATCCAGGAAACGCAGACGCGAAAAATAATGCCGGCATTACGAATCGAACTGTCGACATCCGCATCATGGCTGGATTTCAGCGACATGCAGCGTTAACATTTGGAGAGGCGGGTCCTAGTTGAAAGCCTGGGAACTCAATGCGCTATAGTGGGTCCGGAGTTTGGTATTTAACGAAAAATTATTGAATTTATCTCCTTCAATTTCAGAAGCACTATTGAATGGATTCATTCCATCGATCTATTCGATCCGTGACGACGCCAATCGAGGAAATGCAAACGTGAAAAAAATAATGCCGGCATTGGGAATCGAACTCTCGACATCTACATCACGACTGTATTTCAACTACGTGCAGCGTTAACATTTGGGGAGTTGGGTCCTGGTTGAAAGCCTTCGAACTCATTGTGCTATAGTGGATCCGGAGTCTGGCATTGAACGATAAATTATCGAATTTATCTCCTGAAGCACTATTGCATGGGTTCCATTCGATCCATGACGATGCCAATCGACGAACGCAGGCATGAAAAATAATGCCGACATCCGCATCACGGTGATATTTCAGCGGCGTGCAGTTTGAATATTTGGAGAGCTGGGTCCTGGTTGATGTGCTATAGTGGGTCTAGCAATAAACGATGGAATTGATCAATCGATACGTTCGTTTCGCGGAAAGGCATAAGGGAGCCGTTGAATTGAATTATATCTGTGGATGCGCGGCATGCAAAATAACACCGTCAACGAGAATGGAACCGCCGATTTCCTCATGACGCGCCCAATTTAAGCGGTTTGTAGCGTTAACGTTTCGACTGGCGAGTCCTAGTTGAAAGTGTCCAAATTCAATGCCCTATACTAGGTCCGGACGCTGGGTCTCGCGCGACTGGCCGACCGGCGCCTTGCTCGCGCTTTTGTTTTGTTTTTTCAGCGCGTACGCGGGATGATCACTCTCGCGGGAATTGACACGCGACGACATAATAACTCCCAATTCGCCTCGTCATCATGTCTGCGTCGATTAGTGGTTAAATCACCTCGTTGTGGTTTCACACAGTTTCCGAGGAGCCGCGTGTTCAATTCACGCCGCGGACAGGTTTTTGGGGTTTTTTTTGGCGCGAGCGAGGCGACGCGACAAAAAAAAACCCCTGCCCAGAAAAACAAAAAGTATGGCACAACAAAAAAAAAAAAAAACCGAATACCGCGCGGGAACCTGGCGTACAGGCGACGCGCATCGAGCAGCGGAAACGAACGCTTGCGCGTCGTGTGTCGCGGGCTCACTGATGCTCGCCGGGCGTCGTGTGGTGGGTCGTGGGCTCGTCGGGCGTCGCCTGCGGCTCCTCTGCTGTGTGTTGCGGGCTCGTTTATGCTCGTTGGGCGTCGTGTTCTCGTGTGCCGTGGCCTGGCGTACAGGCGACGCGCATCGAGCAGCGGAAAGGAACGCTTGCGCGTCGTGTGTCGCGCGCTGATGCTCGTGCGCACTGATGCTCGTCGGGCGTCGCCTGCTGCTCCTGTCGTGTGCTTTCGTGTGCCGTGTTCGGGGGCTTGCTGGTGCTCGCCGCTCGCCTGCGGCTCCTCGACGCACGCGCTGCTGTCAGCGTGATGCTCGCTGTCGCTCACCTCACGGCATGCGAACGCTTGCGCGTCGTGTGTCGCCGGCTCGCTGATGCTCGGCGGGCGTCGCCTGCGGCTCCTGTTGTGTGTTCGCGGGCTCGCTGATGCTCGCCTGCGCCGGTCGCCGGCGTCGCCTGCGGCTCCTCTGTTGTGTGTTGCGGGCTCGTTGGGCGTCGCCTGCGACTCCCGCCGTGTTCTCGTGTGCCGTGTTCGGGTCGCGTTCTGCATGGGAATCAATGCCCGCGTCGCCTGCGGCTCCTGTAGTGTGTTCAAGTGTGCCGTGTTCGATGCTCGCCGCTCGCTGGGCGCCTGCGGCTCCTCGACGCGCTGCTGCGTGATGCTCGCTGTCGCTCACCTAACGGCATGCGAACGCTTGCGCGTCGTGTGTCGCGGGCTCGCTGATGCTCGGCGGGCGTCGCCTGCTGCTCCTGTCGTGTGCTTTCGTGTGCCGTGTTCGCGCCTTGAATGCGCCCCCGCGTCGCCTGCGGCTCCTTGTCCGTGCTGTCAGTTGTTCTCGTGTGCCGTGCTTGCTGAAGCTCACCGGTCGCCGGGCGTCGCCTGCGGCTCCTGTGTGTGTCGCGCGCTTGAATGCGCCCCCGCGTCGCCTGCGGCTCCTTGCCCGTGCTGTCAGTTGTTCTCGTGTGCCGTGCTTGCTGATGCTCACCGGTCGCCGGGCGTCGCCTGCGGCTCCTGTTGTGTGTTCGCGGGCTCGCTGATGCTCGCCTGGGCGTCGCCTGCGGTCCTGTCGTGTGTCGCGCGTCGCCTGCGGCTCCTTGCCCGTGCTGTCAGCGTGATGCTCGCTGTCGCTCACCTAACGCTTTGGCGCCGGCATGCCCAGCCGTGATCCTCGCTGTCGCTCGGCTAACGGGGCGGGGGTAGGCGCGGGGCGGATCGAACACATGCAGTAAATCAGAGCCGGGTGTTCGATCCACCCCGCGGACAAAAAGATTTTGTGAATTTTTCTCTCTTTTTCTTCCGAAAATCCTCCCTTGTAAGTTGTATATCAGACGACACCGCTGTGCACTAAGTCGAAAGGGGTTCGGCCACAATTGCACCAAGTCGAAAGGGGGTTGGATAATATTGCACTAAGTCGAAGGCAGGGAAACTCTCTCAAATTTCTCGTGAGATTCCGGCCGTGGCACTCGTAAATATCAAGTGTATCATACACCTCCATGGCGCAGCAAGGGTTTGGCCAAAATTGCACCAAGTTTGAGGCCAAGTTACTTGCAAATTCGCTGCCCTATCACAATACATATCATCAATTTTTACTCGAGCTACGCAAACATACAAAACATAATGCAGACGTACAACATAGGCGCAACATAAAACCCTTTTCCTTGCTGAAAATTACGTCCGTGTAGCTTATACTTACCCACAGCACGATAGCAGACACATTCGATATCTTTCCGAAAAGAAGCCCCAGAAGCCTCCTCGGCAGAGCCCCAACGACACAACACCTCCAGGAACCGGACACAGAAGAGACTACCGTGTACACAGATGGCTCCGCCATAAAAAATGGCCAGGAGGAAGCCGGGCCCGGGATCTACTTCGGTGACTGCGACCTGAGGAATAAGGCCGCATTCCTGAAATAATGTGGTCACTGGCAGGATCTTTGGCGGAGCTGCTAGAGTTTTCGGTTCACGTTGGAAGTTACAAAAAGTATGCTTACGTCTGCCACAACCACAAAAAAGTGCATCTTGACGATCTTCAAACATTGACGACGGTGTCGATAGAATGGGCTGTTGGGGTTGTTGATTCATTCAGGACGGTCTGAAAGCCATACTTACAGTTGCGAGAGTAAGAATAAATGGAATAGTGCATCTTGACGATCTTCAAACATTAACGACGGTGTTGAAAGAATGGCGGCTGGGGTTGCTGGTTCTATGCCGGGGATCCGAAAGTCATGCTTATAGCTTCATTTATAGCTGCCACAGTAGTAAGAAGTAATAGTGCATCTAGATGATCAACAGTGTCGAAAGATTGGGAGTTGGTTCAGTGCAAAGGATCTGAAAGTTATGCTTACAGCTAACACAAGTCAGAACGGAACAGTGCATCTTCAAAGTCGGCGGGGAGGGGCTTCGAGATCAAGGTTGTCGGGGGGCGGGGCTTGGGGTGGAATGGGAAGAGCCTCTGAGAGCAACTTGCGGCCCAGCTCGAGCTGTAGACCGCCCAGTTTATGTTCGAGCTCCAGCCGTTCTTTGGCGAGCTGAAGGTGCCGATTTTTGAGCTCGAATAAGCGAACCGAAAGCTCTGCGGTTAGACGTTCCTCTGCGGCGGCCTGATTTGTGAGTTCTTGAGTGCGCTGCTGTACATGGGTGACTACGAGTGCCAGAGCCCGGGGCAGCGCGTCGGGCGTGACGTCTGTGGAAGGGTTCTTCAGGCAAATAGTAAAGCTCGTGCCCATCGAGACTGACCGAGAGGTGCTGTTGCCAGTGTTGGTTCGGTTGTCTTGGGCGGCATCGTGGTGGGAAGACGAAAGAGCTGATCTGGAACGTGATCGCGTTATTTTTCGAGTCTCCGCGACGCGCAACCCCCTACTTGACTCTTCTTGACTCATGTACTGTATATAGGTCACTCTGACTTGTGCATGGCAGCTATAAAGAACACCATCAAGACTGTAGCATCTCTTGCTGTACGATTTTCCAGGGTCAGTACCGAGCCACCGTGCCTCCACGGAATGCTAACATTGCGAAGGACATGGCTGCAAGAGCAGCATTCTCAGACGTCCAATTGACCTTTCTCGGAACAGCTTCTGCTCAGCCCTCGTCGACGAGAAACCATTCATCTCTCGCGCTGCGGCTAGGTCCCGATGTCTGGCTCTTTGATTGTGGAGGTATGCTGGTTCTGGTTTCGAACAAGGTCAACTATATCATATCTTGCAGAGGCAACCCAGCACCAGCTCCAGAAAAGTATAGTGAAGATGGGAAAGATAGAAAAAATATTCATCACGCATACGCACGGTGAGTCTACGCACACCTTCGTTATTGCCGAACCTTATTTCCACAGGGACCACATCTTCGGGCTTGTTCCCCTCCTTGCGGGTATTCTCAACGGAGCTGGTGGAACAACAGAAGAAGAGGAGGATCCCAGGGCGCACATCGACGTGCATAATCCCGTGAGGAGACAAACCCAACTTGTCTCGCCCCGCTTCTCACAAAATTCAGGTCCTAGAAATATATGGACCGCTAGGGACCCGCGCCTATGTTCGCGCGGGCCTGAAGTATACGCACACTCTCCTGGGCAGCCCGTACGTCGTGCACGAGCTGCGGCTGCCCTGGGACCCGAAACACGGCGACAACCTCCCTCTTCACCGCGCAGAATCACCTTCGGGGCGGAATATCAGTCAAGTCGACAGCGTGTGGCCGAACATCTATCAAGACAAATTTGTCTCCGTCTCTGCGGCCCCCATACTGCATTCGGTTCCCTGCCTGGGCTACGTTGTCCACGAAGCACCTATTCCCGGCAAGATAGATCCCGCAAAATATATCCCTGAACTCAAGCGGACAAACACCCCGATATCGGTAATGAGCCGTCTGCAGCAAGGGGAGAGCGTGGAGCTCAGCGACGGGACTGTTCTCCATGGACCCCCTCGCCGGCCGGGACGAAAGGTTGTAATTTTGGGTGATACATACGACCCTTCGGCGCTCGTGCCCTTGGCTCGCGACGCAGACTTGTTGGTTCACGAGGCAACCAATGCCCATTTACCTGGTATAGATGAGGCAACCAAGGACGACGATACCTTCGAGAGTATCGAGGCCCGGACCAAGGCCCGAGGACACTCGACACCCCAGATGGCCGGCATTTTTGCGAAGCGCATTGGGGCAAAACAGCTTATTCTGAACCACTTCTCTGCTAGATATCCAGGGAACGACGATGTCGATGACAAGGCCAAGACAGTCATGGATGCCATTGGCGCACTGGCGGCCAAGGAGTATGGAGCCCAAGTTACATGTGCTCGAGACTTCATGAGTGTCGACATATTAAAACAATAGATATACATTCATCAGAGGTCATCTGGAGGTTCCGACAAGACGCTACTCTCGTCACTGGCTTCACCTTCCTCGAGTTCTTCCTCCCTCTTCTTTTTACCCTTATTTCTGGGCTCCTCGACCTCTCCCATCTCGATGTCGTCTTCCACCGCTTCCTCAGCCGGCAATACGGGATCGAGCACAGTCTCCTCTCCTTCCTCCATCTCCATCTTCTCCGGTGGCGTCGTTTCGCTTTCAGCAGCAGCCGCGGGGTCCCCTGTCGTTTCGGGGCTGTCCCTCGGAGATGGGCCAACCAAGGCGGCTGCAGCTTCCCTATCCTTGCCCATGAATCTCAAAGACCCTAAATCTGAAATTATCCCATCCAACGCCGCCTTCTGGGCTTGGATCGTGCGGTTTTGGGTGTCGTGCTCCGCGCGAATAGCAGCCATGTCGTTTTCGACAGATTTGATAGTCCTGTATCAGTATTAGTCTGGCGCAAAGTTATTGTATGTG